ACTATGCCGCCACATAATTCCGTCAACAGGGCTCATTCAACTTTCAATTATTCACTCATGCTGGCTTCTCAAACATGATCACGTATCTTTATTGCCTTCATCTTTTTCAACTGATACAACTATTAATAAGACTTTGTATATGCTTGAAGAAAAATACGAAAACCTAAATGATAGTGAATCAAAAGCTACATTTTTACAAAAAATTGAAGCACTAATTGCTAAGAAAGCTATAATTCTAAAAGCACCATTACATACTGAAAATATAAGATGACCAGCTTCCACCAAGCGAGATCTTCTTCTTAGTGAACAACAAGATAAAGCAGCTAAAAAAAAAGAAAGAAACACATCAAAATTTATAAAGAATATTCAAAAACCACAGCAGCTTTTATATCATGATCAAATTCCTACTTACATGTATGAATATATAAAGAAGGTAACTAATATAAATGGAGATGGCAATTGTGAATACAGGGAACTGGTGGTATGTTTAGAAAGAAATGAAAATGAGTGATCAGAGGTTCGAAAGGAATTGCAAAAAGAATTAATTAAAAGAGAACAATTTTATCAGGCTTTGTTTTTAGCCAATAATGATTATGAGATAATTCTAAAAGAGATCTCTTGGATCGATGGCCCTTGCACATTCGAACACTGGATGAGGATGCCACAAGTGAGAGATGTTATAATGAATGCCTATCAAAGACCATTGTACTTTTTCTCATTACAAATTAGCCTTAACTTTCTTTTGCATCACCATCTATTGAATCAAAATGAAGCACTTGCAATAGCTATCGTTAATAATAATCATTATGTGGCTATTACATTGAAGCCTGCTGCTTCTGTACCCTCAATTGTGAACCGATGGATACAGTTTGCTACCCCAGCTGCAACTAGATGGAAACTACTAATTCAAAGTCATATAGATTGCTTTCTCTCAATAAGTAGCTCAGTTAATGAAGCAGATCTAAAAAATAACATAAATTAATCACAATAAATTAACCTTTATATACATATAAAAGTTTAACAATACTTCCTAAGCATTGATCAAATAAATAACTATTTTAAATTTATTTCAAATAAAATAACCAATTTTGTCTTACAGGTTTTGTAAGCAAAAGGATTAATACTAAAATGCTAGATTATTAAAATAAATATAGCAATATATTAGAAAAAAATGCAGATTTTGTACAAGACAATGTAACAGTAATAAGATAGTGATAGTAGTAAAAATTCAAATTACTAATTACCATTACTCAGTAAGTGCTATCACGTGATTCTGCTCTATCTAATATATCATGTGATATTGCTCTGTCCCTAAGCTCTGTCTGTAGAATTTCTGTATGTACTGCCTGTTGGGGTGTTAGATACCAAATGATTAACTATCATAGTCCAGCATTATATAATTGATCTACTATTAAAGATTTTTAAAATTTTACTGATCAATTTATCAAAAAAATTTATCATAGTAATTTTATAATAAAAACTAAGCATTTTTAAAATGTTATAACTCCTGT